TTTTTTTTGCGCTACAACATGGGATTATTCAATGCATGCTGACGAACTTTTATCATAGTTTATAGTTATATGGAAACTAAAAAGGTTAACGAACCTGTTCTTTATCATCAGTAGTATTATTTGTGATTTGAATTTTGCGAATGTGAGTTTCTCTTTTGCGGTGTTAAGCCGCGGGCTTCGGATGCTTTCGCTTTCGAATTCGCGATCTTGTCACTGTTTTGCTTGCATACATCTACACACCTTTCATTTTTTTAAGACTAAAACAAAAGATGGATTCATTGTTATTCTTCATTAAAAAGCACAACAACAATAAATCAGTAAGATACAATGACAAACTAGCTTACAAAACGTTTATTAACAAAAACGAATAAGATAAGGCATGGCACACACCACATGCTGTATTATATACCGACTAATAAATTACAGAACGTTTAGCAAACACTGAGGAATCAAATAAATAAATAAAAGAGAGCCTCCATAGCGTAATGTGAGGTAAACAGCAAAGATAAGTTTTTCAAAAATGAAAACAAAAAGAAAAGTAAAACTAACGGTGACAGTGCTTGCACGCAACACGAAATGTAGTCGCACAGGCAGAAAAAATGGTCTCAGTCTGGAGCCCTGCACTATATCATCTGAAGCCATTCCATATTTTAATGTGAGGGACAGAATTGAGGTTTACAGAAACTCATCTTCCTTCTGCTGCAGCTGTCAGTCATTCTCCGCTCAGCATTCAAACAGCGCGTCACGCTCAGTTATGACAGTCAGCATAAAACTCTCTCTCCAAGATGATATATTCCCATTATAATACTTTAAGTTTAAGGAAGGAAGGAATTATCACAAACAGAAAGATTATTAGAAGCCTTTCTTTTTCTCATGATTTCTATCTTATATTCATGAATGTATTTTGCAAGAATACAAATAGTTAACAGCATAAACATGTTTAAATTGTAATGTGCACCAAAGATTTTTTTTCTCCAAGATATTGTTTTTGCTGCTAAATTATGCAGTCAGCTAGTTTAATTTCATAGCTTATATATTTTTATTCAAATGTAGTTTTTCTCTGTAATGAGGAAGTGAGTATTTAGTGGATTGCGTTTAACAAAGGGTTTGAAAGCGTGACCATTAGTTCCACAAACACAGTATTGATATTCTGTAGTGGTGTAGAAAACAAATAGTGCTGGTGTTGGATCGGATTCGGCCAATTCTTAGAATTTGGAATACTCTATGTAATCTTACAGTACAAAATAATAACTCAAAAAGATAACATCATAATTATTTACTGAACCCTTAAATTAATCACAATTATATAATGAAAGCCATAAAAACAGACAATTAATCGTGATAATCGGCATAATTCCTCATTACAAAGCCCTAAAACAGACAATTAATCGCAATAACCATGACTATTTTTAGACAATTAATTGTCAGCCAAATGTCATAATCGTGACAGCCCAACTTGGAGCTGAATTCTGTAGGACAGTGTCTCTCCAGGAGCCGAGTCTGACACCCCTGTCCAAGATCATGAAGTCAAATCAGAAATCCATACATGGCGAGACAATGTTTAGCCATTATTCCAAATTCAAACCCAGACTTAAAGGGGTCATATGATGCTTTTTTAAAGATCATTATTTTGTGTATTTGGTGTAACAGAATATGTTGACATGCTTTAATGTTCAAAAAACACGTTATTTTTCAAATACTGTACATTATTGTAGGTCCTCTATGCCCCGCCTCTCTCAAACGCTTCGTTTTCTACAAAGTCCCTCCTTCCGACAAACGCAGTCTGCTCTG